TATATAGTTTATGCGTTGTTAGGTACCTACCTATATGTAGTATTGTAAATAGTGTAAACATTCAACAAAATAATTACCACAGACTAGATGTAATTACTTATTACTATTTACTACTAATAAGTACCTACATAAAGGTACATAGATAAATAGATGATATAATTGTTTATTAGTTACATCGATATTACATAAGTACACATTAAACAATATTATATATTTTACGTAATATGCGGTATACAATTTAGCAACAACAGAGAAAAATATATCACGAAATATCAAATTCGTACATTATATATTTATTAAAATTAAAGTATTCAGTATTTAACAACATTATTTGGATTGAAATATAAACCTACATATGACTTTGTTTTATAATTATTAAAAAATACACAATATGTCAACACTTTTATACAATAAATCGTAATATTTAAAATAAAACACAGTCTCTCGTTAATCGTAATACATTCTAAAGCGAGTATAAGTACACGAAAAATTTCATTTTAGGTATTAATTTAGAATATTTAAAAGGCTCTTGCCTCAGATACAACGATACCTAGACAGCGCAATTATAAATTATGATAAAATAATCATTAGTTCAAGCGCACATACAGTTTAATATAGTTTTACAAATATTATAATATACATGCTTGAAAGACAAAATAGGTACTAGGAAAAAAACAAATGTGCACTACACGAGAAAAATAGCTAAGTGGTGCACAACTTAACAAACGAAAAAATAAGACTAGAAGTCTGATCACGGGGCATGCTTGGCCGAATGGGAGTGGGAGAATTGCAGCTACTATTCATCAGGTCCATCCGCGTTATAAGTGCATAACGGTTGTACATAGGTACCTCCACCGGGAATTTATAATCGAATAACTGCCAGTGAGGGGAAATGAAATTAATTCGGGCGTACATTCAACGATGTCAAATAAACATTCAACGGTTCAGGCAGCACATAATATTGTACCTTATCTGCGGTCCGGGTACAGAGAAATACCGAGATAACGTTTAGGGAAGAGGGTTGATTATACAAGTTTAGTCTATACATACCGTACATAATAACATGTGCCTCCTACTATTGGGATGGCGGTCATTTTTACCATCGGCTATAATAATATGTACACAGTTATTCAAATATCGTGCACAATTATCTACATAATATTATATTTGATATAAATAATTCTTATAATTCGTCTGTAGATTCAAATCGAAATCGTTTTCGATCCCTCCGAGCATGATACTACGCTTGACGAGGACGGGATCCACTTGAACGTAAAACCGTCGAATCTAGATAAGCGGAGAAAACGGCGTAGGTTGTAGGTATAAAACATTTATAAACGCTGAACGTTTTTTATCTGGCGGAGGCACAACAAATGAAGTACGATCGCCAAATGAACAAACCCGAACGGGGGTAAATTCGAGCGAAACCGACCAAGATAGAAATAAATATGGGATTAAAATATTAAATGATGACTATAAAAGTGGTACTGTTTACTCCAATATGGATGTAGATCACCAATGGCGATGAAACATACGAGGATGTTTTGTATATAAAACCCTAACGATACATAGCCTTTACGATTGAAATCGTTAGACGATAGTTGTATTCTACTACGATGGAGGTAGAAAATATAACCGTCGTAAAACGTTTCATTCATGGAGGTTAGGTGGAAGTACATGACTTAAATAAAGACGTAGAACTATGTCGTTAATACACATGACAATAACGACAAAACTTTCGGTCAGAGATAAATTCTACAAATAATCGATGGAGGTATAGATAGTAAGTTAAAAATCGAGGTCCGCCAGTCAATACTATAAACATTATAAACTGAAAATTGTCATACTTGCATACAGAACCAACCGAGAATCTCTGATCGGTAGGAGGTTGGTCCAAAATTAAGTCGGACAGAATTTCACAAATCCACCACAGAACAGGTTAAATTGCTTACATGGAGGCTAGGTAATAACGATGACGACACTAGATTGATAATTAATACTTAAAAACCTTAGATCAAACTCGTACTAATCTTAACCACCGATGTCGTGAAGTGAAATGATCCAAAAGCAGAACCTAATTCCGAAACGATACAATAAGACCAAAGTAACTAAAGTACTTGTAGAGCACACAACAGAAAAATTTCTGTAAATAAAAACAGTTCGAATATCGCTTTGAGATAGGTAAAAATACGATAGCGAGTGAGCACTTTGCTACAATTTTATTAAAAATTAAGGTTCCGATAGCAATTAGGGAATGGGAAAATGAAGACAACAGATCATCAAATATATTTAAAAATTAGGACATGTTTGTTCAAAATTACATAATCATAATTTTTGATATTTTTAAAGTGTTATCCTCTGACCTGTATATACTTAAGTTACAATAAAAATGTTTTACTTAACCTAACCAATTTTAATATATAATATAACTTAAGTATTAAACTATACCAAAAGTTATAGACATGCAATTTTTGGTAAAAATGAATGTATACTTTTAATATACAGTCATTGTTTTGGATAACATTCAAATTTTTAAAAAGAAACATTTTAGAACTTAATAAGTTATTGTTTTTCAAAACTAATTATAAGTAGTAATAAACTAAAAAGCTTTTTCTTACTCTTAAAATCTCATAACCTTAACTTATTTAAATTTAATTTATTAAAAATAAAATGAATAATATGATAAAAATCTATTTTTTTTTTTTAAATATAGTAGAACTTTTAAATGAAGGGTCCAATCAAAAACCAATTTATTATAATTATTCAGGTATTGAAGTAATTTTAAGTTACTAGGGAAATATTTGTTTTGTAATTATTACAAATCATTAAAATTGTTGCATTAATAAAGTTCTACTACATTTAAATAACTAAAGGCTCAATACAATAACTAGATGTCTTAATTTTTACTTTTAAAATAATTTGATTTTACGATTACCCCGTATCATAATTTACTATATTGATTAATAAAATGAAAACAGACCTGTCTCTTCACAATTATTTAAAATTCCAGAGCGATTCTATTAAGTAAACAAGAATATCAAGTTATTGAACCAAGCCTTTAATTACTAAGTTTTCACAATAATTTTAAAGGGTAATTTATTACATCAACCACACCTTATAATTTATGTTATAATTGGGATACTTAAAATAAACTTATTAATAAACAAATATCATGCGTACAATCAAATTAATTTGTAAAGGCTATGAAAACCACAAATCCATAATTAAAATATAGTGATAAGACATAAAAAAAAATATACATTTGATATACTCTGCACCACGAGAGAAGTAACTCGTGTCCCGACCAAATCGAGTTTGAATCCACGCATTCCCTGCCAATTTGACATATTGACATTAAACTATCACAATCGTTAATGGTCGTGACACCACAGCGTTACACTGAGTGGCACAAAGTGAGGGAAGTGGGACCTAGTAACAGTCGCTGCTGTCAGTCTGCATGTCTGAAACGGGTTACTTCTCTTGTGGTACAGGGTATAGATATAATATAATTGTATGATAAGAACATATTTTAAGATTATACGCATAAAATAAATTTACCCAGTGAATCATACCTGTCCAGTTCAAAAAAAAAAAAAATTATAATAATAACACAATAATTTTCCAATATACATTATTTAAATGCACTTGTTAACCATCACACAAATACTATACTACTGTTCTACTCGTTATTATTTTAAGACCATTTAAATAGAAATTATTTAAAAATAAAATTCATCAATAATATAATATGCACATGTATAGTAAAGAATGACAACAATTAATGTTATAAATAATAATTTAAATTAAAATTACTTAATAATACAAATATATTTTAATTCCTTGATATAGGAACACAATAATTTAAAAATAAAGAAAACATAAATACAGATTAAAACAACATATTTCAATTTGAAATCAAAAGGACTGAATAAAAATGAATGATAATTTTAGTATGTGTAGTTACTGAAAAATAAATTATTACATTGAACATTATAGATTTTATTTCTTATAATATTAGAAAAATAACTGTGATTAAATACTCATTCTTCCAACATTTATAAACATTTTTTCATTTATCAGTCCTTGATTTGTATTTTATACTTCATAATAAAATTGAAAACTAGTATTTTGTAGTCTTATTATTGGTTTGTTTATATGATCTACTAAGAACATATAATTAAACAATGACATCTTCAATAAGAAATACAATAAACAAATCTTAATAGATGAGTAAACACAAAAATTGCTACCTATTCATCAATAATTATATCCAAATTCCCAATTAAATTCTCTTAAATTTGTCACTGTCAATATAATAAATATAATTGTACTAAAATAATGAAAGAATAAATCATTTTCTAATTTAATAAGTAATTATATGATGTTGCATATAATATACTTTTAATTTATATGGTGAATATGAAATTATACCCATTACCATAACTTACGACTTAAACTGTTAAAACAATAATTATGTTTTTATTGATTATAGTAATAAACATGTAAATAAATTTTAGGAATGTTTTTCAACAAATAAAATTCATTGATCACAGCAAAAATTAATTAAAAATCAAATTTAAAAAAATATATGTATAATTAAAAAGTAATTGGCAGTGCAAAGTAACAAACAAAAACCTAACATTTATATACTTTCCTCAAGTCGTGTTATTTTATCAATTTAAGTCTTGAAATTTTGAAGAATAAAATATGAAATAAAAATTAACTGTCTAACCATGTTATTCCAAGTTTTTATAAATCAAAATTTTAAATATTAAACTGTTATTATTTCTTGAACTCAAATGTATTGTAATTTATATTATATTGATCAATAAAACCAGAGATCACATTAAATAGTTAACCCAGCCACCAAAGTATGATCCATATATGAATTCTAATATTAAAATTTAACTAAAATTATTTAAATGCCAAGAATTCAACTAATATATAATTTAAAGCAATATTTGTATATAAAAAAACCTTAATATCAGAAAAAAATAATAATAATAAAAAAATATTCACATAGCGATGATATTTTAAGCATAAAAACATATAACAATAAGAATACTGTTTAAATTATTTTTAAATAGATATTCTTTTATATACCATCAACGGATATTATAGTTGGGTAGATAACATGTTGAAACTCATATTTCAGCTGTTCAATTTATCATTTTAGTAGTTGTTCAATTAACCAAAGTTAATTTTCATATCCCTTTTAATGTAAAATAACATATAGGCTTGAACATTTTCTACCAAAGATGCATCAACTTCATGCACTTTTTCATCATTATATTCATACCATTGCTCTAAATTTAAAAAAATAAAATATAAAAATATGTACATATTTTTATGACATAAGATTAAGTTTCAAAGATTTTCCAAGAATGTTACCACAATCTATGGTTTTATAATTTTAAAATTTTGAAATTTGTTTTGATTAAATACAATATTTTCAATTTAAGAAAGCCTCATTAGATTCCAAAATACTACTGACCAAATCATAATTTTTTAAAAATAATCAAAATGTATAAAACTTAAGATTGTAACATCCAAACTTGTTTGACAACATTTTAAAAACCAATAAAAAATTGCACTCTTGAACAAAACTTAAATTGTTTAGTTAACTTCTTAAATTATTTAAACTTACCATCTTTGTTATCTACAGCATAAGAAGTATAATGCCCAGATCCTCCCCTGAAAATGGCATTTATTATAAAAAACAATAATATATTTTTTAAATAGTTTAATTTTAATTTACCCTTCTCCATCATGTACAACTACAGCAATTAAATCAAACATATATGTATCTTTATCTTTCAATTCATTTCTCATTTCTTTATCAAAATATACAGACATATCTAATGATGCCATAGGAAATTTAATATGCGTATGGACTTTAGAACGATGAGTTTCTTCCCATCTAAACCGTTTAAGATGAAGACAAAGTATCTGAACAAACATAATCATCCAGTTAAGTATAGAAGTATAATCTTAATAATAAGCAAAAACAAATATTTACATTAGGTAAAGCGTTCATCCAAAATCTCTTAGTGGACCTTTGTTGGCTTTCGCACTTGTCACAGAAATAAAAATTTCTTTCATTTAGTTCTTCTATCTCAAAATAACGCTCCAAGCAATCTTTAAAAAAAAAAAATTTAACAAAAAAATTTATTTAATTTATTCGTAGCTTACCAGTTAATAGACCAACTGGTAGAGGTTTTGTTGGGTCTGCGTTTTTGAAATCCGGAACGTCTAGTGAAATATCTGTAATTGGATCTCTTTTTCTGGAAGGTGTATTGCATTTTAAACAGTATACCTAAAAAAATATATAATGATGATTTCCACTGAGTTAAATGTACAGATTCTTACAAATTGTATGATCACAAAATAATGGAAATTTGTGGAAATAGAAAGTGAATAGGGTGCCATATAATTGTTTTCAAAGGAGGTTTCTTAATTGATATAGTTTAAATTTGACTAATGAGATGGTTGGCTCACTGCTATGTGGATAATTAGAATGAGAATGTTTTATCAATTTTTGATTATTCACGAGGAGAGTAATCAATATAATCTATAAATCATAGAAATTTTAATAAAAATCAATACATAGTTTATTACTTTTTCTAAATTTTATAGGAGGGCAAAAACAAAATATAATTTTCAGAAGATCTAAGATGCTACACCCACATTTATTGTATTTGTATTATGAATGCTTAACATGGCAAATATACTCAGCAGTTCATGTTTAGCTTCATTAGTTTGAAAATTAAGGTGAATCAAGCTATTATAAAACTTAATGGTAAGAACATTGTATGTGTATATATAACAGTCTTTTACGATGATTCAGATTCAAGTCATTAGCATATCTAAATTGCACTATTTTATAACTTGCTAAATAATTGAAACACGTAAAAAAACGACATACAAACACATATATGTTCTTACCATTAAGTTTCATCATTGGTCGATCCGCTCTAATTTTTGAACTAACGAAGCTAAACATGAACTGCAAAGCGTATATTTAGTATGTTACACAATTATGAGAGGGAGGCAACAAATGCGTGTGGTGTTCTTTTAAGTTCTTTCTCATGGATCTACTTCTTAATTTTTAGAGTACAATAATTAGTTATTAAGTTCAAAACTAAGATTTGAACAAAATATTACCTAATGCCTTTTAGAACACCCATAAAAAAATGTAACATACAATTTGGAAGAACCTATACAAATAATTCACATTTTATTAAAATATATAAGATGATCCATTTAATGTAAAAATTAATTATTTTCAGTGCGATTGAATACATGATGAATAATTTTTTGCTACCACATTATATGGATCAGCTTATATAATATGTATAGAGTAAGGCGTACATGTTAAACCAAACGTCACAAAAAAAGTGTAAATTGAATTTAAAAACCAAAAAGATTCATATATTTGATTAAACAAAATGTTCTAAAATGTAAATAATAGTCAGTGACAGTAATTTTTCAAAATAAAACTATTAATATAAAATAGATTTGAAGTTCTGGCGTTTTATTATTCTTAATTCACCATTTATTTTTTGGCTAGATACTATTAAAATTGTACGGCCTACTCTATATTGAACAAAAGTCAAAATAAATAGTGATTAAGTGAAAAATTAATCACCTCACTTAATAAAAACCCACGAAACATCAATGACACAAGTGTATCAATTTTACTAGGGTTTTCCTCTGTTATTCCCTCCTCCTCTAACAACAATTTACTTTTTTCATCTTTCAGCTCGGAATGTAAAGTATCCAATGTAAACATCAAAAATTCATGAGCATCATGTTGATGAAATCCTCTAAATATTCATTATAATTTTAGTACAATATCATTATTAAATACGTATAGCAATTTTTGTAATGTAATTGATAAAGTAACATATCAATATTATTACTATTGCAATTGTATGGTTCACATTGTACTACAAACAGTGTGTTCAACAAGGTACATTGTTATTATCAATCGTATACAAGGTTTGAAACTTTTAAACCAGAATAAATAATAAATATTTAAATCAGTAAAAACCAAAATTCAAATAAATTGACGTTAACACAAGCATAAATTATTAGTACCTAACTACACATTATTCATAAATGTTCCTTTCTTTGGTATTTTAAAAATACTAGTATAATGCTTGTTAGACAAAAGTTATTATACTAAATATTAAACGTGGATATAATTAAATTAAAATCTAATTAAACATTTTAGATATAAGTTGAACATTTTAAATAATAACTACCCAATAGATTAAAATTGTTATTCTGTTTTAAAAATCTGAATTTTAATGTTCATATATTATTTCCACATGAATATGTATATAAAATATTTAAAAGTTATTTTAATTCAAATATATTTTGATCTTTATATGAATAAATATGACACTGAAACTAGAATCAATTGATTGAGTAAAAATCATAACTCCAATCATACTTATTTATAACCAAATCCCACAGCTCGGAAAAATTATATCAGTTTCAAGCCTTATATTATAAGCCTAATATATTATTTTAACACAAACAATATTAGGCTACAATTAGTAAATTAAATAAATATAAGAAATTACATTCATTCATTATACAAATTAGTTTATTTATTTAATATACTAGACATTTTTTCAATACACCCTTTATTAGCATTGATTCTTATAAGCCATAAAAATACATATATAAAAAAATTGATTGAGAAAATCTGTGTAGAACCTTTATGAATCAATCATTTGAAATATTAATGGATAATCTACATGCCTAGAAATGTAGAAATGTTATATCTTGAATGAATTGTAGAGTGGCAATTTTTGAACTTGCATACAAATGTCGGACTTAGTGAGATAAGTGTTATTAACTACAATAATATTATTGAAGTCACATCCCAGCCAAATAATGTAATGATATATTGGTCTAGTAATAATATTTAACATTTCTTGAAATTTGTATGAAATAAAGGCTACAACTGATATATAACAATGCTCTATAGATTAAACATAATACCTACCTAGTTCTCAATAAATGAATTTTGTCATACCCGATTATTATCATTAGAAAGTTACTTTTATACTTTACAGGGTAGATACTAAATACAACTATATGCCCATTAATTAACACGTTTCATTGGTACACATAATTAATGGAGATATATAGATCCATGCCTTAAATGAAAGAAATTCTATACACCACATAAAAACACATAAAATACATCTATCAATCGTATACGGCTATACATAAAATATAATTAGTAAATTATACATAGAAAAATACATTTTTTTATATAGTTAAAATATTATAATATGTCCCTATTAAATTAACTAGAAACTTTAAATGAGTTTTGATTTTAAATCACAACAGATTATAAATGTTTTATAGAATATAACTTATTTACTAACTTGTAGCGAGGTTTAATTTTGCAGACAATTTGAAGAAGAGCAGTTGGTGAAATTGCTTCTCTAACTTTATAGCCCGCAGGTTTTTGCCAGTCAACTAAGGTCACCAATAGTTTCCACATTTCTTGGGCTATACAATCTTGCAGCCTTGGATCTGAATTATTATTATTTTGCTTATTGCTTATCTCAGTAAGTTTGAACAATTTCATGCAATATATAAATGGCTTTAGATGACTGAAATATAGTGAAAAATTATGTAAAATAACAAAAACAAATAAATACAAGCATCTAAGTTCTAAAAGTACAAGTTAGTAGTTACATATTATTCACTTATTTATAATTTAAACTAAAATTAAAAGTGTAAACTATTTTATTGAACTATATAATTAGTAAAGGGTAATCAAATATGAAAAAGCTCTCTTAACTGAAGCCTTCTTAACCATTGTATATCCATCTAGAATACCTCAAGATTTTACACCACACTAGAATATATGAAGACGTTTTCATCTCTACATCAAAATCTTCAGCCTCCCCCTCCCCCCCTCAACCAAAAAAAATCACTATTTTCGCTTATTAACATATTATTATATTAATATTTAGATGGTTAATTTTAAATTAATGGAATCTAGTGAATAATTAATAAAATAATAAATTGATATGCATATAGTCAACAATTTAGCATTTGTTATTTTAAGTTGAATGTTGTTTTTACATGATTAATCCATAAAATATACAAATGGCAGGCTGCAGATTAAAAGATTTATTCAAACGATTTCCACTAGAAAAAAAAAATTTTCATGGTCTTCTTCATTGGAGGGAGTTAATTATTAGGTAGTACTATAATGAATACTTTTTAACCTATTTCACCAAAAAGTTTAGTCGCCTATAAACTATTTATTATACTTATTGAAAATAAACCAATTACATCACAAAATATAAGACTTAATTTATGACAGCAATAGACACTAGTTACAACTCTCATTGAGAACAAAGTGAATGTTAAATGTTAAACAAACAAATAATAAAATTGGTAAGTAAGAAGTTACTTATGTACATCAAGAATGTCCCGAATAGAGTATATCATAGAAATAAATTTTAAAGAATAAATAAATAAAAGTTTAGAATGATAATTGGTAGCTTTAGGACAGTAATTTATAGATACAGTACACACAATAATCTATATGATAGCATTAAGATAATTGTTTAAAATAAGAACAAAAAACATCAAATTGGATAATAGTTTAGTACTAAGAGCATTAAAGAGAAATATATGAGTTAGAATTTTATCACAAAAAGTAGAACAAATATTTTTAAAATATATAGTAATAAGTATTTATAATAAGTATTTCGGAAATTTTGATACAAAACTACAGAATATAGTAGTGGCCCATCATGAGGAACAGATAGCATTACCCTGTACCATAAACGAGACTAAAAGTTTGATTTTAATGTTTAGTACTGCAAATTATAATACAATCTCTTATCTGAAGTCGACATGGAGAATAAAGATTGTAAAATACAATAATACATAAATTCAACTATTTAGTGGTCTATAAATATAAATGGATGTCTAATGCATAAAATAATTTGTATAATGATGAAATTATTTGGACTGGATTAAAATAGATGATAAAGAGAAAAAAAGCAAGAAATTTGTTATTCCAAACCAAAGGTGTATAAAATAACACACCAGGATAATAAATCGTATCAATAATGGTAAAAACACCTGTTTTGAGCAAATAAATGTCTTGAAGCATTTCAAAAATTTCTTAAAGAACGGTTCAATATACTACGAAAGTTATTTTCATATATAGATAAATCTGTAGTGTACACAAACACAATACAACTCTTGTTAGAATAAAGAAACAAAAAAATAAGACTAATGGTTAAGAGACGATTAGGGAAATGTGAGTGAAATTTTGAATACATTTGAGTGTATTTAATCAACCCATTTTAGTGTATTTTTATCAAGTCAAACTTTTCTAGGTTACACTTTTAATTTAATAAATAATAAAATAATATTTACCGAAGAGATTGCCAAACTGCAATCATAAAGCAATTGTTTCCACTATTAGATATACCAACTTTTTTAGTAGTTCTAGGACCTCTTTTTAAAAAAGGTTTTTTAGGTTTAGCTTTGAGTGCTTTCTTTGGTACAACAGCTTTAAGTGCTATACTTGAATTGTTAGCAGTTTTTGGCACAACAGCTTTAGGTTCTTGTTCACTAAATATTAAAAATACATTAAGTTTTAATACACCAGTGACGGATTGCATGAAAAATGTATTAATTTAACGGTCCAATAAAATTTAATGGACCAATCATGGGCCACTAAATTATGTTTAAAGGACCATTAGCCACTATCGATTCATTTAATGTTTAGTTATTGTTCACGCAACCCGGCATTATTGTTTTAAATATGTTAGTTCAATAAACTGTAAATTAAAAACCATTGAAAAACGTGAGAGGGTGGGATAAGAATGTCTAAGGAACAAGATTAAATTGGTTCCAAGATATACCGTAACATTTTTTTCCAAAGTCATTGGTGATTATTAGCAAAATATCAAAACATTTTTTTATGGCATGTTTATTTAATTAGTTTAATGTACCATTGAACATAAATTGATAGATCATACCTAATATTTTTTTTTTGTAGATCACATATGATAATCGAAAAATCTGTGTAGAAACATACAATATTGCAATCTACAATAATTTCTAGCATTTGGAAGTGAACCAAAAAATATTGTACAATAATATCCTGTTATTGTAAAACTAACTACAAATGGTATTGGTAACCAAGATAACAAAAATCACAACAGATACAGTCAAGTATAGGTATTTTATAAATAGTATAGAAAATTATGATCATTAACAGTTTTGAAAAAAACAATAGCAGCAAGATTTTGTTAATTTCATTCTATAAATAGTTCATTTATGAATAATATTTTATTTTTACAGAACATTTACACATATAATTTAATGAACAATTTGAAAAAAAGTAATATTTATAAACATACATGATTAAAACGTCAAACAAAGAACGTCATGCATATTATAAGACATATGTAAACACTTAAGATTTTATTTACAAATATTTAAATTTTAAACACTATTCTTTATATAAAATCTAACTATACAGTTTATTTCAAGTTATTTTAAACAACACTTTAAATTTAATCAATAGTAATATTTACCAAAGAGCTTGGGTAACTGTATTTATAAAACAGTCATTTTCATTATTAGGTACTTTTTTATTAGCTCTAGGACCTCTTTTAAAACTAGTCTTTTTTGGTTTAACAGCCTTAGGTGCTTTTCTCCTAAAGATTGAAAAAAAATATTAAGCTTTAATACAATAGATACTTCAATTTATTCATTAAAATAATTACCGTCTTCTCTTTTTGTTACTATTATTTGTATTTGGTCCACGATTATAGAGAATAAATTGTCGAAGACGGTTCAGTTCATCATCGTGGTTTTTTGGTTCTACATCAGAACTACACTTGAAACTTTAAAAATAAAATATTTTAATTTAAAATTTCAGTGAATATTATAAAAAACGATATTTTTAAACTTATATAAATATATTAAAAAAATGTTAACATAAAATTTATGATTGGTAAGTAAACAATATTTCAAGCAATTAAAATCTTTTCTTTGAAATACATATTTAGACCAAATAATTAACAATATAAAAATAATTTTTTTGACTAACCAGAATATAGCCGCAGATTCGATATTTATAAATATGCAATGAGTTTTGTGGAACTCATAATGAGCAGTACTGTGTCCTACAGCATTATGCCCACAAAGAATTTGTCGGCACTCCAGGCACATCCATAATTGATCTACTCGTAAGCAAACTGAAAATAATATATAATTCTACAATTAGAATCTTTTTACTGTGTATTAAATTAATTGAATATTGAATCATTATTTTACTAAATTGATTAACACGTGCATTTTCAATATTTTTTTTCATACAAAATTGCAGCTATAAATAGGTACATTACATACTTCATTTTTTGGTACTACCTAATATTGTTCTCTCATCCAAATAATTGATATATTATAGAAAATGATAAAGTGACTGACTGATATTTTACATACAACATAGCTATTATGATGAATGCATCCACTAAGGATTCTTGGAATTCAACCCCTAAAGAAGAAAATAGGAAGTTGTAAGGATTTCAATAGTGGAACCATCTCTTTAGCAAACTACAATTTAAATATATACTAGTTGTGCCATCTTTCCAGAAAAAAATATACAATTTCACAATTTCAACACATTTGGTTCATTTTTTACCAAATGACAAAATGTTTGGACTTAAAATTTGGAATTGCGGTTCCTCAAATGTTCTAGATCTGCTAGGAAATTCTTTATTTTGTTCCATATACACATTATTTGGGAAGCAAGAAAATCATTGGGATATTTGAATAGAGTAAATAACACGGTGATTACTGATTAATTAATGTATAAAGTTTATTTATTAGTGATCTTTCTAATACATTACCTATTTACCTACAAAAATACATAATATTAGGTACCAAGTACTAGTGGCACCGAGCCCATGTATCAAAAAGGGCGACCGCTCCTCCTTGTTCGAATTGGTGGATAGATGTTAAGTAAATCTGACCATTGAGATTCGGGAATAATATTGCTTATCAATATCTCTATAAATTAGCGGTATGCTTAAATTTATTCAAACTTCAAAGCTCTATAATTGTATGAAGTAATGTATAAACAAATAAAATAATTATCGTACATTTCTCATTCCTATAAACTTGTCCACGAGCATTAAGTCCCAACGGGTTATTAGCTAGGCACGGTTGTAAATTTTTTGGTGAAAATAAACGCACTATCATCAAACCAGTCACTTAACCGAATTTCAAGAGATTATAGGCAATAGTTAGAACACAGTCCGTGTATTAAATATGTTGGGTGGCTTTGTGGTCAACTGGGTTAAATCAGTGTAGATGCAGTAAGTGGTTGCAGAGAAGCAAGATACCGTTTTGGTAATACAATAGGTTGAATTAATTGTTTTGTATGTAAAAAGTATTTTGATTGAGTATAATATTATTTATTGAAAAGTATTGAAAAAAAAAGTGGGCACGTTCGGTATCTGTTAAACGTCGTGTTGTGTGGATCATTGTAATGGATGTGTTAAATTTGAATTCAATAACATAAAATCATTGTATACAAAAAAACGATTCTGAGCGAAGACCGTCTATCAGCCTATTTTACTAAGTATATTAAATATATTAAATTATTGCCAAAACAAAAATAACTAAAATCATTATCCTTCGTTTAAATATCTAATTTTGTCCAAATCTGAACACTTAAAATATCTATCAACAAAAAAACAGTGTTTGCATAATTTTTAAGATTTTTTTGGTTATAGTAACAAATACTTATGAGAAAACTAGTTTCAATTTTTCAATCCTTAGCTATATTTAAAAATGTAACATTTTTTTAAATTATTAAAGACAAAATAATTTGCAAATTCTCATGACTGATGAATTTTGTCAACATTTGAACATAAAATGCTTATGAAAAAAAATCTTGCATGTGTATCTTTAATATTTTTGAACTGCAATTATAATAGCATATGAGGTTATTAAAATGGAAAAATTTTATCAATATTTATAGTAAAAAAACTAAAAAAATTAAAAAATCTATAATTATCTAACTAAAAAAGAGACAAATATTTTGAAAATTGTATGGTGAATAGAAAATGCTAATACATAGGCAAAAACAAAATTGTCAGTTAAAATGGCATGCGTGTACCTATAGTTATTTTTTTAGAGTAACACCAAAAAACAAAATTAATTTTATCAAAAACTAGTTTTGCATACAATTTCCAGTTTTCCTTTTTTTTGGTCAACCTTGATGTTTTTAAAAACTACTGGGAATTTTTAATTTTGACCTCTCAAATGCACCAACATAATTTTTACCAGAAAATATACCTACTGAAGTTAAAAATCAAAGCAATATTTCGACTTCATTGTCATAGACACAAAAAATAAAAACCCTACATTATAGCCACAGTTAAGTGCTATGGGCTATACCACATTGAAATATTGAATTTCTTAAAAACCGATAGTTGATAATCAAACTGATAGATCTAACATAAAACTTTTTCTGATATTTAATATGTCCTATCATTTTTTCAAATAGCTATAGAGAATCTATCCATAATTATTTCTAGTACTTCTTCTTCTACTTCTACAAACATCGAAGTACCCACAAGTATATAACATCCCTAGACGTAAAACATTTTCTATCCAATATTCATGATAATTATTGATTGTTATTACAAAGGACCAAACCTTATGGGTACTATATAACACGAATCTAGAAATTGCATAATATACATGTATAGGTTATAATATTTAAAATATAAGATGTAATACCAAATATAAACTAATAATACTACAATGGGAAATTGAGGAAAAATAATATAAAAGGTTTCCTAAAAAAACCATGGTTAACTAATAAAAGCAATCATAAATATCATAATTCAAATAGGTATGAATTTGTTAGCCGAAGCCTTTGTTAATAAAATTTTATGAATAATTAATATTAATCCATCAGGCAGTGGTGGTTCCTTGGTTCCTTCTCATTTATCTATTTAAGCAAAATGTATTACAAATTTAAACATATTTAAATAATTGTATGTACATTTTATCAGCTCCCCCCAGAAAAATATAAAAATTAAATTTAATAATTATTGTTTTTTGTTTATTAATTATAAAATTCCTCTGAGTTAGTCATCTAAACTTAATGCTATACAAAATAATACGGGCTTACTTAACAATCATCTTTCAAAACACAAGATAGGCCAGTGTAGTTGTTATAAAAAATTTAAAAGCATCATTAAGTTTGAATAACAATTCTACATGGATTATTATACTTGAGTTTATTACCCATATTGATTTTATTTTTAAATTAAAAGTTAAAATAAAACGAAAACCTGTTATATAGGTAAGACTTATGTAGATACACAATTTTTAAAACATCAATCAGTACATCTAGTAAATGTAAAACCAGTTTTAAAGTCAGACCTAATCTTATAGAAAAATCTAACAGGTTTGACCATTGACATTAATTTTCATCCGATAATTTTTCTTTTAGACACATCTAGCAAACCAAATGTACCTGTCCAACTACTACAACTTTCTATCTAACATTAGTTATTTAATAAATAAAATGTAATGTTTATTATACTTAGAGAAGTAATTTTATGTAGTAATTTATCTTGTTAGGTACAGAAAATTGTACATAAACATTTAAACTAACAACTTTACTTTTAACTGCAACCTAATTTTACACAAGGAAACACTCACAAAATACACAGTAATTGTATAGCTAGATACAATACAACCAAATAATTATTACAATTTAATAATCTAAATAAATGCATTAGCTCATTTTGTTTCAGTAGATAAATTCTAAGATGTATGCATAATTGTATAGCCTTTTTTTATTTAGACTTCAAGTTTATATAAATACTTTTCGACCAATAAATGTATTTCTAACCCATAATATAAAAATTGAACTTTAACAAATTATTACTGTATTATTACCCAGATCAATTCAATAATTTCAAACAAAATTATATTTTACTGTTTTTTAACAGCAGTTGTTCAGATAGTTAGCATGTGTAAGTACAATATCTATAGTTAATATACTTAAAGAATTATGATAAAAGTGGTCCTTTGAGGTCAGCGTTATACACAATTCGTTTAAACTACTTACTACAAACAAAACAAAGAAAACATGTCATGCTTACTTGTCAACAAACAGCATTACATGTATAAAGGTATCACATAAATTACCCAGAAGAAGTTGAAATATGATACTTTTAAATTTAAAAAAATGAAATTTATTGTTTAGAACCACATAGATAATAAGGAAGATGATGCAATTGTAATACCAAAATTCAAATAGGTATAGTGTGTAATTAAATTCCTTAATGAAAATATGAAATGATTAACTAATGTAATATTGTCAGTTTAAAATTTATGGATTATGAAACAACGCGATGGAGTGATCCGAAAACAAAATGCAGCTTTATTTTTGTACTGTTTTGTACACAGATTTTGAATAGAAAAAAAAATGAATGATTATTGTAATATTAGCACTCATTGTTGATTTATGGGAATTTCATAATATCTTATTTATTATTTTTATCTAACAGAATTGATACAGAGACGTTTAATCAGTCATACGGGTCAAGATGTTCAGAAAAATAAACTCTACAACTTATATCTTCAATCATCTCAAAAATTAAAATTAAAAAAAAAATATTAAATTAAACTTAAAAAATAAATATATGTAGTCCTTGTCTCTGCGAGTCTCAGAAAAAAAACAACAGATTTATGATATATTTATTATCTCAGAAGATATTGCAATGAGTAAATCCTCGAGGGACACCCTATATACAATAATATATCAGGCATGAGAACCACCCAGCAAAGCTGATGGTTTGTTTAGGATCTAGGTTAGAGGTTCTTCACTAGTGGTCACTGGACCCATAGGGGGTCTGTAGATGATTACTCTGGGTCCACTGAGTGGCAGATTTTTTTTATTAATAATCCAAAAATTAGAAAAACATAGTAACTGAATATTTAAATTGTACCTACATTTTTATTGCAAACCATGTTTACTTCATACTTGATATGAGTCCATGACCCAGAAAATGTTAAGAAGAACCTATGGTCTAGGTTATCAATATTTCATAAGATTAAATTTAAATGTTTAAAATAAATAGCATGTGCTTAAAATGTCAAGCATAGCAAGACTTTTTTTCCATATGAAAAAAATTAAGTTGGTGGATACTTTAGTAAGCTGCACATA